CACAGGACGTGGTCGTCAGGATGGTAGAGTTCGCTCATCAGGCGGTAGATGTACGAAGGTGCATTCCCACCAATGTTGGAGATAAAGAGGGTGATGAGCTCTGGGGGCACGTAGTCAAACACGGGGCAATGAACGCTGACCTTCTCCAGAATGTCCCCTGAAAGGCAATCACACATAGTAAGGACAAAACTGAAGATCCTGTTCATACTAAGTATCACACAGATTCGAGGCTCAGTAAAGCAGGCACGCTAGCTACCAAGGATAGGGAAGCTGTGGCAAAATGCCAACCAGCTGGGACAACTTCAGCCCAATATACTCTGCTTAAAATTCTCCACTCCCTCTGTACAGCCCTTAGAATAAAACTGAGACTCGGAAAGCCACGTCCCATCCCAACACACTAACGAGAATCTGCACCACCTTCCCCCTGGCTTAGCACTCTCCAGCCACGTGGCCATCATCCTCCAAGCGGTGAAGCACATTTCCATCCTTACACAAGCACCTCGGACACTTCCCCTGGTCTTCACATGGCAGGCTACATTCAGGACTCAGCTAAAAGATCATCTCATTAAGGCCCTTCCCAAATCTGAGTTACTCCCTACCCACTTTCCATCACATCTCCCTTATTTCCGCCCTAAAAGGCCATGAGCTGACCTTCTCTTGCCTGTGTTCCGCCATATAATGGCAGCTCTATGGGAGCAAGGCATTATCTGTCCTGTTTGCTGTTGTATCCACAGTGCCTAGAACAGTGCTGGACACATATGGGGTGCTCAATAAACATTGCTAGAAAAATGAATGCTTTCAATAGAGGGACGAGCTTGCAAAAGGAATCAGGACCCCTAGGACTACGCTTTGCTAGCTCCCACAGAGTATTAAGTGCTCTGAGGCGACAAGCTCATGAGTAGAGCTACCGCCTTCAGATGAGGCCAAAGAAAAGGCCCCCCCAACATGAGGGTACCCAGCCTACAGGCAGACTTTGTAAACAGGAGCATTTCAGGGCCCACTTCCTTTAGCAGCCAATTCACCAAAATGGCTTGCCATAGCAACTGCAAACAGGAATGCTTTTCCATTTGGTTGTGGCCTATATTTCAAACAAGGTGCAAAGCCAATCAGTGCTGGGTGATCCAACCTCCCATGGCCCCAACAATACAGCTAAAATAGGTAAGTTTCAAAGAAATTAAGATGGACTAAATCAGGCCCTAAGCACTCTAAGATGCTAAAATAAACAGTCCCACTAGAAGTATGATAAAAACCAACCTGACAGCATTCAGCTGACCACTAAAACAGCAAAGAGACTAAAACATTTCTATGCAGAAACCCTACACACACAGACCAAACAATTTCAGCACCTTCTGTGAAAGGCAGAACTTCTTCGGGAGCTACAAACTTGTGAAATGAATCTTCTTCATTAGGGAACTAAAAAAGAAAAAAAAATATTAGAAACCCAATAATTCCACTCCTATATACGTATACACAAACAAAAACTCAGACATAAATGTTTATAGCAGATTTATTCACAAAAGTCGAAAGGTGGGGCCAACCCAAATGCCCATTAACAGATGAAGAGATAAATATCAATAAATTGTAGTATGTGCGTATGATAGAATATTTACTCAGCCTTAAAAAGAAAGGAAATTCTGGGGCTGGCAGGTGGGTGGCATGGTGGTTAAGGGCGCTGGACTCCCACATGGCCGACTGTGGTTTGAGCCCTGGACCTGGCGGCTTACTTTCTTACCTTCTCTCTCTCTCGTTCTGTCCCTCTCTTGTCAAATTTAAAAAAAGAAAAAAAGGTAAATAAAAATTATTTCAAAAAAAAAAAGAGGGAAATTCTGGCATAATTTACAACATGGCTATTTCCTGAAAACGTAATAAGTGGAAGAAGTCAGACACAAAATGTCATATTATATGATTCTTTGTATATAAAATGTTCAAAATAGACAAGTCCATAGAGACAGAAAGCCGGTTAGTGGTTACTAGGAGTTGGGGGGAGGGGGGACAATGGAGTGACTACTTAATGGGTAGAAGGTGTTTTTCTAAAGATAAAAAAGTTTTGACACTAGAGCGTGGTGGTTGCACACACTGTGAATACACTAAATGCCACCAAAATCATATATTTTAAATGGTTAATTGTATGTTATGTGAATTTCACCTCGAGAGAAAAAGAGAGCTACAGATAGATGGATGTTTTCAAAACAAATTGTTTCTATCACTGATAAAATGGTTCTTCACTCAGTAACCACTCATATGAACGCTATAGAGGATGGGCCTGGATCAATAACAAAACTGTTTCTATGATCCAAGTCTTAACCTGTTCAGAATTTTCAGAAATGGTCAGGGCGACAGCGAGTGATGGCAACTGTAAGAAAAGGGCCCTTCCCAAAGACACACTGTCCTGACGTGACAGTTTTCCCTTCCTCAAGCTGGCAGGTAATGGCTATGGATTGTTTTTCCTGGATCAAGATTTCTGTGGTTCTTTCCAGCCTTAACTGGGTCTAACCCATCAAGTAAATGCAGATAGCGAGGCCCAGGTTGAGTGCTCAGAGTTCACGCCTACACTGGCTTCCTTCTCTGTTGGCTCAGCTAGACACACAGACATACCTGCGGGGAGAGCTTGAACATAGGTGCGCACACAATGAGGGGGGTGGAATGGTGTTTTGCTGCCAGTGCCAGAGTGTGGGTTCCTGTCACAGCTCTCAGGGCCCCATTGGCCAGGATGGTCTTTGTGCCAATGATTACCTTCGGGACAGGAAGAGAAACATGAGCCATCTTGAGGGTAGAGCCCTAAAGAGTCATTGGCCACAGCAGGCTGAATGCTCAGGCCTCAGACGTGGCCTCCTAGGGAATCACAGACCAGGAGAGGGAAAGGGACTCTAGGCTTTAGTAGCACAGGCTTTAGCTTAAAAATAAGCTCCAAACAGGCCAGCAGGTGGTGAAGGATCCCACATGGCCAACTTTAAGGTTTGAGCCTCAGACCTGGCAGCTTAAAAATTATGATGGGGCAAGTGTGTGAGCATGCCCAAAATCCAGAGAGGAGAATGGAGAAGGGATTGTGGTGTGGTCATCCCCCTAGGTGGGATGATTACTTTCCCTCTCTGTCTCTCTCCAGCAAGCACACACGCTCTATAATAAAATAAACAATAATAATAAAACTCAAAAAAATGTGTTCTTAGCCCTGTTTTTTTTTTTTAGAAATCTATACACCAAACCTCCTGGGAAGCCAGGAGACATTTTCATTTACTATCTACTACAGTTGAGCTCTTTGAGCACAAGGCAGGAGCGTTGTGGCAAATCCCTAGGAGCTGACACTCAGTTTAGTTCTACCCCAATTTAGCGGTGACCCAAAGTGAGGAACAGTGATCCTGACAAAGAGAAAAGAATTCAGTCACTAGCTTAAATGGTCCAAGTATATACTTTCACAAGGGGCTAAAAACATGCCTCTTTTACTATGAATTAGTTAAAGGAGGAGGAAAACCAAAAGTTAATGTTGTAACCGTATCATCTTCATGAACTCAATAGCAACTCCAAATACATCCACCTTGTTCACTCTTGACATAACAGCAAAAATGGCAGCATCAGTCATCACAGTTGTCTCGATGTTTGCTTTGGACAAATTGACAGCCATCTCATGACCCTGTAATAAGAAGGAAAGGCTAATGCTGACAGGAAGAGCAAGAGAAAGTGAAAAGAGCTCTCAAGTATAGCTGGATCTGGGCAGGTCTGCGATCTGGGACATATCCAGTACATGATTTCCAACAGATAGGTCATTTTTCTTTCTAGGATGGGTGTTCTCAGGTGAGCTGCAGGGAAGCCCAGGGGAAGCTCATAAATACATGACACAGGCAGCACAGGAGCTGCTACAGAACTGGAAGTACAGCTTGCCTCCATAATCAAGCACCGCCGCTCATTCCATACAGCATCCTGCACCCTTACGTGTCTCCTTTCTGAGACCTATTATTTACCTAAGGACTGAGTGAGGTCAGACCAAGCATCAGTCCCCCCCAAGATAGTTTACCCTGCTTTGATCCATAAAAGACCCATTCTTTATCTTTCCTTGGACCCAACTTTCTTATACCAGTGTTTAAAAATGTTAACAGGAAAAGAAAAAAAAAATGTTCACAAGAGGAACTTGAACATTTCTTTAATTGTTTATTTTATCTTCTCAATGTCTTGCTTATCAATTCAAAGCTGGTGTGGATCCCACCCAACCCTTCTTTATTCCTTCATTTTTCATTTTTCTTAGCAACTCTAACAGTCCCCCTACCTGGCAGAAAGGTGCACACTCTGCCACAATGACATGGAATTTCCTCTTTCGGGCAGCCTCTTTGAGGAAGGCCTCAACTGTTCGAGAGAAGCCAATGGTCATGATCACCTCGTTGGAATGGATATGCTCCAGAGCCTGAGCTGCAATGTTCTCCGTCGTCCCTTCTGCAAAAACAAAGTTCAGCAAGGATGATATGAAACGGCTCTGCTATATCACAGACAAGCCACAAGTCTGAAAGACCTGACTGCCCTTCACCGTGGCCCACCTAGCAAACCCTAGTACCACAGGGTAACAGGCTTAAAGGGAAAGTTCACAATTAAAAGCCCCACTCCCCTGGGATCTTCTACCTCCAAGTTCTCAGCATGCCCTCACAGCACCCCTACTCCTCAACCACCTTCAGGCCATTACTCCAGCTCCTTACAACTCACTTTGAAAAATAACAAGCTCAGGCTCTAAAAGGCAATCTGAGAAGGTAAACAGATCTTCCCCCCTAAAAGAACTCTTCCTCTAAAAGGTGGCTACAATGCCTCCACCTGAGAAAGGGAGGCCAGTGCAGAAAACTGCGGAGGAATTTGGAAGCAATGGCTAGGGACACAGATAGAACCCAGCTGCTTCATCCTCTGAGAAACTGATTATAATGAGTATCTGCAGGTCTCTTGCATCTCAAAAACAAGGGAGGTGGAGGTGTTAACATATATGTGTGTATAAAAATTCAAGAGGGGGAGCAGCAGGTGGCATGGTGGTTAAGGTGCTGGACACTCCCACATGGCTGACCACGGTTTGAGTCCCAGACCTGGCAGCTTGCTTTCTCAATCTTTCTCTCTGTCTCTCTCTGGTCAAAATAAAATAATAAATGAATGAATAAATAAAATAAATAATTATTAAAAAAAATTTCAAGAGGAAGTTTAGTGAGAGAAAGTCCAGAAACCATGGCTTTAACATGAAAACAAAGCTCTGTCCTAATAGTGTCTGCCACCATGGACATGAGGCCTAAAAAGGGTTGACCGGTAAAAAAAAGTAGAAAGGATTACTTTAGTCCCTCTGCCTGTTCCAATCCTTCCAAATGGAGGGAGGACAAACCTCTGAGAAGCAGAGGACTGGTTATCTCCCACCTGTGCTAATGAACAACTTCCGGGGACTTCTGTTTCCTCATCTGCCAGCGACCCGTCCTGTTCACCCAGCGATCAGGCCTCTTACCCAGCTCCACTAGCAGCTCATTAATCGCCTCGATGATGTTGGACTGGAGTTGGGCATAATGGAGGCTGAAATCCTCGCTCTGGCCTCCAGATGTCAAGAGTTTGTGCAGGGACTCCTGCTGATCGCTCTCGTCGCTTCGCCCATGGAGTCTACAGATGCAACAAGACCCAAAGAGGGAGATGGGAAGGATATGTGTCCAAGAGCTGCTAGCTCCAACGATGGCTCCAAGCACGAAGAGAGGCTCGTGCAAAAAGCTTCTGCATCAAACCCAGAACCCAGGGCGTGAACCTTACCTGCCATACTCCTCCCGGATGATCTTGAGCACTCTCCGCACCATGTTGCCCACGGTGGTCTCTGAGGGCTGCGCAGCTGTCATCCTCCTGCCCTCCGTGCGGATCAGCTCCATCAGCTCCCCTGCAATCCAAGAGAGAGGCTGAGCGAGGCCGGCGCGCGATGAGGCCTAGTCGCCCGTCACCCTTGGGGCTGGGTCCGGCAAGGGGCCGGAGGCCCGGTGCAGCCAGGGCTGCCTCACCTGCGTTGCTCCAGCGGTGATCTGAGATGATCCGGCGCAGCAGCCCCAGGGTCTCCCGAGCCATGTCCTCGGAGCTGCGACGCCCGCCGCCTCGCTTCAAGGTCTCCACGAAGCTCTCGATCCTCTCGGACAACTCCGAGCCCTTTGCCGCGGCTCCCGGCATCTCGAAAGCATCCACTTAAACCAGAGGTACACACACCGGCGAGAATTCCGGGCTTGCACTTCCGGGGCGAGCCGGGTCAGCTTCCGCTCTGTCAGAAAAACTCCAGTTTGAGAGGCGGCAGGCCACGCCCCCCGTCGCCACTCCCCGCCCCCTCCATCTGCCTGAACCAATCAGGCACGTGGGACTGGAGTCCTCTGATAACAGCGTTAGCGCACCTCCCGGGCGGGAGGCCGGGTGAGGCTGGTCCTGGCTCCTAACCGGGGTGAACTGCGGTGAGCCTTCTTGCCTGAAGAGGCTGGCTAGTCGTCGCTATGGAAACAGCAAGTGTCTATGTCCACCCCACCACCGCTACACGGGGCTATGCTGGAATAGTTGCCAACCTTCCTGGCCCCAACTCGGTGACCGCTCTGAGTGCCCGTCCAGTGCCCGCTGCCCCTTAGGCTGCTCCCCCTTTATAATGCCTATTCATTGCATGGTATTGTTTCCACCTATATTATTTTATTTTATTTTTTGATATGGGGCACGTGTGCTTGCTGGGGAGAAAGAGCAGAAAAGAGAGCCTCCCACCCCCCAGGAGGGATGGGCAGGCCAGAAATTCCTTCTCTATTGTCCTCTTGGGATTTGGGTCATGCCCGCACAGGGGCCTAGTCTGGTTAGTTTTTTTGTTTTGTTTTGTTTTGACCATAAGTGCCCAGGAGAGAGAAAGAGAGAAGAGGAAAGAGAGAAGCCCCCTCTAGCACCCCATGGTCACACCGCATCCCTTCTCCATTCTCCTCCAGGGATTTTGGGCAGGCATGCATTTGTGGCTGGTGCTAGCCCCACCCCAGCAAGTTTTTTAAACTGCTGAGTCTGGCCTGGAACCACAGAGTTAGAAATGTGGGGACCAGCTACCTTAATCACTGCCACCAGCTGGCTCTGAGCCTTCTATTTTGCCTTTGTAGTCTCAAGGCCTATAACACTTAATAGAAGAGAGAAGTCAGGGTTAAAGAGAGTCTCCACCAATAAGAAGATTAAAAAGGGGAGCGAATACTGGAGCAAAGGTGATATCCTCAAATTTGGACAGATGTCCTCCTTTTTTTTTTTTTTTTGGAGGGGTTTTTTTTATGGGGCGTGTGGCCTGC